GACCCAGATGAATATGGAAAGGTCTCTTCTTATTCCAATGCCAAGGAGATATGTGACAAGCTCCAAGTTACTCATGAAGGAACCAATGAAGTGAGGAAAACCAAGATAAGTCTTCTCAACCATAGCTACGAAAATTTTAAGATGAAACCGGATGAAGACATCAAGCTATGACAGATAGATTTTTCGTGATAGTCAACGGTCTCAAGGGATTTTGGAGAAGTAATCCTTAATGAGAAGCTTGTGAGGAAGATGATATATTCTCTTCCAAAGTCTTAGCAATTAAAGAAGACGACGATCATTGAGGCTAAGAATCTAAAGTCTCTCACTCTTGATGAGCTTATTGGTTCTCTTCTCACTCATGAGTTGATGGTGAAACAAGAGGAAGAAGATGAAGAGAAGCAAAATAAGAAGAATGAGGAGGTAGGCATTGCCTTCAAATCCACCAATGAGAGCAATCAAGATTTAAATGAAGAGGTGGATGAAGACGATGATGAATAAGAAGAGATGACCAAGCTCTTCAAAGATTTAAGAGATTCATAACTTCTAGGGAAGTGAAGCATGGATTGAGCAAAAAGAAGAGTCCCTCGGTGTGCTTCGAATGTCAAAGAACGGGGCATGTCAAGTATGATTGTCCCATTTTAAAGAAGAAGAGATCAAGTAAAAAAGAAGGCATTTATGGCAGCTTGGAGTGATGAAGACGACTCCAATGATGAAGATGAAGTAGCCAACCTATGCCTCATGGGCATCGAATAAGATTCAATGGTAACTTCTAACTTTAGTGAATTAGATTCTTATTCTTTTGATGAGTTACAAGTTATTTATAATGAGTTGTATTTGGAATTTGAGACCATGAATTCCAAATATAAGAAATTAATTTCAAAACTTAAAGTTGAAAATGATTAAGTTTTGAAAGAAAAAGTTGATTTTGAAAAATAAAATGAATTTTTAAAAAATGATTTAGAGCTTTCAAAAGTCAAAATCAATGATTTAGAAAAAGAAAATCTTGATTTGAAAGTTAAGCTTGAGAGCTTAACAAAAGAAAAAGAATTAATTTCTAAAAACAGCTCATTATGTTTAAAAGAGACAAAATGCTCACATTTCCATATTCATGGTTATTTGGAACATATTTGTCCCATAAAGAAAAGAAAATATTTTAAAATTAAAAAAGTATGGGTTCCCAAGGGAATAATGGGCATTGAAACTAAAGTCTAAGGATCCAAAGCAATTTGGATACCAAAATCTACTTAAATGTCTCTTGTAGGTGTGTGAGAGAAATGGTGATGAAAGTGACGATACTCAAATGCTCTAGTCACACTTGAAAAGGAATGAGTAACATCTAAGTTTAATGCTTTTGTTTTTTGATTATTTGGTTGCTCATTTAGGTTTATGCATGCACGAGTTTTGATTTTAAATGATTTTATGTTTTCTATCTCATGTATGTTGAAAAATGTGTTATGATGAACATTTTCTAAGGTTTTAATGATTTTTTATAATTTTTAGTTCATCATAGTGAATTTTAGTCAAAATTGGTTTTAAATGCAAATGATATCTCTCTAACAATTGATATCAAATTTTCAAATGCTTTGATTTTACAAATTTTAATTTTTAACCTTAATTTAAATGTTTATGCATGTGGTTTAAAATGCAAATGATATCTCTCTAATAATTGATATCAAAATTTTCAAATGCATAACATTTTGGATAACTTTATGCACATGAACTCAATTTCAACAATTGGTATTGCATAAAGTATTTTAGCATTGAATATATTGAATTTCGTGGGTTACTAACATGTTTGTTTATCTTTGTTGAAATTTAATTTCTTTTAGTGTCATGCTCTTTAAAGTCAAATTTTTGTTTGGAATGTTTTTATTAAGAGGAAGCTTTTGATTTTTAAAATGATTTTGTCAATTTTAACACTTACTCTTGAATGTTATTTTTGAACTTTAAAGTTGAATTATTTTTTATATAACAAAAAGGGGAGAAGTATGAGTTTGAAAAAAATTCAATTTCTCAATGAAAAATAGGAGTTGAACATTTTTCAACAATTGATATTTGTTTTATTAAATATTTTATTAAGGAAGAGTTTTGCAAAAAAACAAATTTTCAATTATTTATTTATATCAAAAAAGTGGGAGATTGTTTAACTATATTTTGATATAACAAATTAAGGCAAAATGTTTTTGGACTTGAATTGAATTTATTCAAAGATTTCAAAAATAATTCAAAGTCCATTAAAAGTGAATTTAAGCACAAAATTAATTTTCAACGTACGTAGTACCGATAATGTTCTCACAACATCGATACTATATGAATAGTACCGATACTGTTCATGTGGTACTGATACCCTAGGTAAAAAAAGTATCGATACTCTCTAGGTAGTACCGATACTACCTGCCTTGCTCAAATTTCATAATGCAAAAATGGTACCGATACCCAAAGGGATACTGATATTATTTTACATAGTAGTATAAATACCATAGGCTTAGTATCGATAACGTCAGGCCCAACGGCTAGTAACTACTAGTTTTATTTAAATATTACAAAACTAGTATCGATACTCTCTATAAGAGTACCGATACCCATGTACTGGGCAGTTGATTTTTGCAGAGAAAACATCCTCAAACGGCTAGAAATCATCCCCAACGGCTAGAAACGACCCTATAAGAGTACTGATACCCTCTGTAATGGCAGTTGATTTTTGCAGAGAAAACATCCTCAAACGGCTAGAAATTATCCCCAACGGCTAGAAACGACCAACACCTCATTCCAACATATAAATACAAGTTCAAGACACTTGAAGAATGATTATAACACCTACCCAAGCAATCAAACACAAGAGAAGAGTTTTTCATTCTTATTTTACTTTTTTTTTATAAATAATATGTTTTTGTGAGTTTTATTTTGTAAACAACTTCATTTTTAGAGGTTTTCTTTGTTTACATCTTTTTCCTTGTAAAGGCGTTTTGGTTCTAGCTGAGCATGTTAAAAGTTAGGGAGTTGTGTAAATGTTATCTCTTTGTCCTTGAAAAAGAAAGAACAAATTAGTAAATTTATTATAAAATCATTAGTGATGAGCTAAGGTAGTAGATACATACTTGGTTGAAAAGTCGAATCACCATAAATTTGTGAAAATTTTCCTCTCTTTATTCTCCTTACTCCCCAATCTAAAAAACTATTTCAACCCCTCTTAGCAAATCATTCGGTTGTCCAAATTGAGCTTCAACAATCCCAACATAAATTCTACCATCCACATATCTCACAAACATTGTAACTGTAGCATTAGCATACAGTAAAATCTTGAAACTTGTAGTAGATAGTATAAAAACCATTACCCTAATCGTTCCTTTGTCCGGTTTTTCCAGTAAAGTGTTGTGATCTGTGAATCAATCATGGCACCTCCAACAAAAGGGAGTTGCTTAACATATTCCAGTTTGATGTAATGTTCTCGCATTTCATGAATCCACCAGAGAACCTTTGGAAGAACATCAGCAACATGTTCTTTAAGAACAGCATCCAGCCACTTTCCAGCAACTGCAGTATTCAAAACTATCAAATCAGCCTTAAGAGCAGTGTCCACAGCTTCTTGACCTCTGGCAGAAAAAACCTGACAAGTGTAGGAAATCCCAAAAGTTTAGCACAACATTTGAAATTGAAGAAGGAACAAAGCGAAGAACAAAAACAATTTCCTGAACTCCTCGATCCAAACTCTTGTGTTCTAAACTGTAAACGATGTCATCAGATTCGGTTGGTTTCTTGTTATTACCCAAACAACGTCGGCGCCAACTCCTCTTAGCAGAAATGCCAGTTCCATTAACAATAAAGTCCCACCGGAAAGGGAAAGTTCGTGAGAGACTAAGAGAACGAGTTTTGACATCATGAAATCGAGAGGATTTTGAGTCGGTGCTTCATCATTGGGGTTAACTTCATTGTAGGCATCCCCTTCTTCTTCTTCTTCGTGTCCTTCCCTGACGAAGTGGCTGACATTGTTACTAGATCTGTTGCTGCAAGAATCGAAGGTGGATCTTATGAGGAAGGCTATCAGCGTGATAGAGAAAGGAGTAATAGAATCATCAGTGGCCATCTCTTTTTCTGCTGGCTTGTAATCCATGAGCTCGATTGCCTTCAAATTCTTCCAAATATTGCTAGCTTCACTAATTCGCTACTGCTTCGATCTATAAATAAATATCAGCAGGGACTTGCGAGAAGTCGAGAACTGTTCTGAGAGTTTACAATGATTACACCGTTTGATTCGAGGACACGTGATTTGCTCATTCGCTTCACTGGATGAAGAAGCGCGTCGACCAAAACCATGAGCCCAGCTCGGCCCGCGTTTGTCGGACGGTAAATTTAGCGGGCTTTCAGTTTAGGATTTGCCATTTTAAAACATCCAGCTTTATTGGGCTATTTAGATCTCCATCCATTCTAGTGAGCTGGATATTTCCCCATAACATAAAATAAAAACATCCCATTTTTTTAATTCTAGGATTTGAAAAATAAATTGTTGTTATTTTAATAATAGAGAGTTAACCATATCAATAAAAAACATTTAAAATCTTTGGTCTAATTCTGCTCCCACTCTCCGTATTTCATAAACACTTGAAATTTAGCCCCTCTACTCTTTTAACCTAAAATTGAAGTCTAATTGATAACACTATTCAAGAACATTGATTATGTGACATTTTGTTCCTCTATTTTATGAAAATTGAGAAATCACTCTTCCTGATTTATCAGAATTTAATCTTTATCTTCTGTGAAATATTGTCAAATATTATCATTAAATCGTTTGAATATCAGAATTTTAAAGATTTAAATATAAAAAAGTAAAAAAAAAATCAGCGGTTTAACAATTTATATATAATATTTGAAAAAAATCAATTTAAATTTATATGTTAATTATTAATATTGAATTAAAATAAAAAAATAAAATTCGGAGTCAGAATCAATAAGACGTTCTTACGAGCAAGAAAAGAAAACCTACAAACAAAGAATCTAAATTGATCGTAATAATAAAGCTTTGATTCATTCTTCAAACATTAAAAAGGTTAAATCCTCAACAGCTTTTTCTAAATGTAACTAAAAGGGCGGCACTCAACCCATTCTTGCAATTAAGCAACACAATTAACTATTAGACACGACATAGACATAGCACTATACCAGATACCAGAACTCATGTCCTAATTAACTACGCGACAATTCTTCCTAACTTCCCCATTAAAACCAGTTAGAGGACTAATGTTTCCCATCTTAATCATTGACTTTGCGAATTGTTTAAAGAAGAGTTTGTCATCCTCCGCATAAGCTTTAACCAGTTCCATGGTGTTCCCAACATTCCCCGACAGAAGCACTTGATCCGAATTCAGCAGTCCTTTTCCCCACAAAATGAGCTTGAAGTAAAGGTTGTCGAATTTTACAGGGGACCCAAAATCCAAAGGTGAAATGTTGTTGTCACCACCAGATTTGGGACACACAGATTTCAAGCCATTGTAATAGGATTTCTCTAATGTTAGGTCTGGCAGGTTGTTTCCGTTTTGATTGTATAGTCTCTGCTTGAAGGTCGCACACCTGGCTACACCGATGGTATGTCCTCCTGAAACATTATTATTACATGTTTGAAAATGAGTAAGGTAAAACAAAAATACGAATTTATGTTCTGGTCTGAAAATGTGGACGGTTGACCTGAGAGAGCAACGAGGTCGACTTCATCGAGACTTTGACGTTGGAACAATGTTATCAGGTTCTGAAGAGTGGAGTTTGGTGGTGGGATGTTGGTGTTGGAGGAACTGAGGCTTGCGTTCTTTGAATCCCTCCTCCCAAGCGGAAGCTCCCAAGATGGTCCACCGCTCTGTGTTAGGCGTTAATCTTGGTTACCAAAAATAGTACTGAAAGAAGTAATGCTGAACTGGTTTGCATTGCATGGTTACCCCTTACCAAAACAGTGGAGCCACGAGCAGCCATTGCGAGTATATCGGCGCAAGAAACAGTTTGGGGACATGCTTCTTCTAGTTTAGCTTTGATCTCATCGATCACTTCAAAGCCTCTAATGGAGTTCCTGTTTGGTAGTGCATTCTTTTCACTGGCTATGGTCGCACTGTCGTCCAACAGTATGGATGCATCACAGCCCTGTAAGACAAGGTATAGACGTGGAAATTTTAAGTAATTTTACGAGGTACTGTAACCATTTTAGCAATACTTACTTTTAAACATTATTTCTCATCTCAAGCCAACTTCTCTAGGCATATTGTTTGCGTCTGAATTTTGAAAAAAAGGAAGAAGCAAGTAACCTGCACGAAACAGTCGTGGAAATGAAGCCTTAGCAAGGAGGCAGCCATCCTAGGCTGTTTTGCAATGGCCTTGTTTAGTACTGACATGACAATGTTGTCAGCTTGAGGGCATGAAAACTGATAGAACTGTGGGAAAAGGCCGAACGGGTGTGCACCAAATTGGCCACCTGGGGAACCACCGATCCCCCAGCCAAAACCCAAACCAGGGTGAGCCAAGGATACAGTGGCCGACAGGAAAGCTGTTATTAAGAAGCCAAGAGCAACTTTCAGAAAAACCATTGGTGATTGGAGTTGGTCTTAGGGGTATGTACTCATTGGATGGCAACGGAATTTATATTATTTGGCTGTAACGATTAAATCAACTGCTCCCCTCACCAAATCCTTCCTGGAAAACACCTAATACTCATGCCGAAGACTTCGTCCGTTTGTCTTCACGCTTCTTTTTGTCACAAGAATTGTAAGCATCCGAAAATGGAATGGTGGCAGTTCTTCTGGTTTACCAGCTCCTTTACCTTCATGGTTTAGACAGTACGGATTAACTCACCTAACTTAGCTACCATTCCCTAAGCCCAATCTTATCAAACGCATCATTTAACGATAGGTTAAAAAGAAACAACATAGTTTTATATTAATTTCTAAAATATTTGTATATTCATTTTATGCTCATTTTCTTTTTCATAATCATGGTCTGTATCGTTTATTGTCGAGAGAGGTGGAAAAGAGTAGATAATTTAAACGTTATATAAAAAAATAAAAATATTCAAGAGACCTTAATAAGTAGCCCTTCAAGAAACAAAGGATTTAAAAGAGGAAAGATTACGTCCGAATTTGACCCTTTCACAAATCCGAGTGGTTAACCTGCTCCCAAGCTACTTAGCTTTCACATTCATCTACTTACGGTAGCAACCAAAGATGGCTCCAATCGACTTGACTTTGGACTTGCCGTTTTTCGTCCTATGGATTATAAACCCCTCTTTTATTCAATATTTGACGGTTATGCTTCGAGGTCTTGTAATCCGGCACCCTGAGTTCACACAGAATACTGACACTGTCTTCTGGGATAAAAACTAGAATTCCATTATTACCGTCAAGTTCAGTTACATCTTTAAGAATAACGAAGTGGGTTTTCTATATACACTGGTATTCGGGCAATGCTGCACTGAAAAGCCACCTCTCTTCCAAATCACCTGAAACCTCATCGAATTTAACACGATCTATTCAAAGGATACATTGGAGAGAGTTGAAGTTACGATTTACACAGTTGCCTCATTGGGGTTAGCAGCCTAGCAAAACGAAGAGGGACAAATGCCTTGACAAATGTCCCATTCTCGGTATATTCCTGCAAAAGGGAAAGATATATAAGAAAGCAACAGCAATAATATTTCTCCACCATTCAGTTAACACTTGTCAAGGCTTTATGATGACTTTAAATTAGATTAATTTAACATTCAGTTAACACTTACAGTTTTCTCCACCATTCCAACCTGATGTATAGTACTCAGAAGTTCCCCTTTGTCAAATGGGAGTAAAGCCTCCACTGGAACCATAGAATCCTATTAAAAAATAGCATTACTCATCACTAAAACAGAGTTCAGATTCACGAATACGCAGAATCAACGACCTTCATGTTTTAAATATTTTGAAATACAGGCAATTAATTATTACCTTCAGTTTTTCCTGCACAGCATTGCAGAATTCCTGTAATCCCTCGCCAGTCACAGCAGATATACAAATAACATCTTCTCTTCTCTCTGCTTCCAACTTGAGTTTTTGTGGATCACTAACCCTATCAACCTAACATGCGTGTGTAGTTCAGAAAGCAATCAAATCTCTTTCCCGTGCACGGTTCTTAATACAGGATGCAGAATATTGAACATATGTTATGAATAAGATCACTCTCAATAATTTAGTGTCTAAAAGCAAAAACTGCCTGTAAAAGTAAATTATCAAATTTTAAATCGATAAATAAATAACTAAAAAGGAATTATGAAAACAAATAGTATGAGCATGCTGGGGTAAGATAGATTTATGCGATTAAGCAACAAAAAACACGTCTGATGCAGGATGTATTGAGTATGCACGGAATTATACAAATCACAAATATAATAAGATGCGAGGAAAAGGTAAAATTGTTTATTTTGCAAGTTTCAATTCTTAGTAATTCAGAGATGGAAAATATCATCATTACCTTGTTCCAGACCATTAATTTTGGAATTTCAGACACATTTAGTTCTGCTAGAACTTTTTCCACGGCATCTATCTGCTGCTCTGCAAGGGGGTGGCTGAAGTTCAAATGGAACAGCGTTAGTTGATCATTTGAGAAGAAAAACAACTAAAAATAGTTGATTGAATATTATACCTGATGTCCACCACATGCACTAGAAGAGAAGACTCAGATATCTCCTCCAATGTAGCTCTGAATGCAGCAACCTGCATGAAGCAACCATTAGGCAGAGCTGACATGATTTCTGGGGCTCCACTCAATACAAACTTGATATTAAGATTCAATGGTAGCATCTTTCAAATTGAAATAATCACACATAAAGTAGTTTGAAATTGGAAGGCACGCTCATTGACAAATGATTGAAGGAGCTCCTGCTAACATAAACATCTCCAAAATTTGAGAAGCATTACCAGAGTAGTTGGCAACTTTTGGATGAAACCAACAGTGTCTGTAAGAAGAAATTCGCTTCCATTTTTCATCTGGATAAGTACACAAAGAAACAAATATCCCTTGTTACCGATAGAGATCATAGATAACACAGCACAAACTCATTTCAATACCGGATACGAACAAACAAATTTTGTCCAGGAAGAATGTATTTGTGCACAAATTTATAAAACTAACATTCATAGATCTAAATCACATGACTTATTCAAACTCTCAATTCTTTTCTACCAAAATGAAGTAGCTAGTAGAATTATGCTCTAAATTTGAGAATGAAATAGCAGTTGTTGTGAATAGATGTATCAAGAATGGCACAACATAGAAATTATATGTTCATAGATAGAGAAAACTTATAGCTACTGCTGGAAAACATTGTTTCAGTTTAAATCTCCTCTAACTACTCAATTGCATAAAGAACAGGTTAGCTTGAAATCAAGGTATAACGATAGCGTTTCCAATTTATTTGACAGACCTGAACCCTTCTTGTTGTAGGATCAAGGGTTGCAAAGAGTCGGTCCTCAGACAGAACATTAGCTCCAGTCAAATGATTTAGAAGTGTACTCTTACCAGCATTTGTGTACCCAACCTATAATGATATCAAATGGATAATGTCCAGAAACATAAACCAACAAAATAAAAACGTCCTTGTATTTTTAAAAAAGAAAAAAAAAAGAAAATCAGGCTAAGTGCTTACCAAAGATACTACAGGAACAGGAACAGAAAACCGGTGGTTTCTATATTGCTTTCGATGTTTCCTGACAGATTCAAGCTCTTTTTTAAGAACTCCAATCTAGCAAAGCACATAAGTTAATGCATGGGAACAAGTTCAGAGTTTAAAAAGTATAAGAGAAAGGAACCAAACTGCAACAATAATAAATCCTATTCTCTGCCAAAATTTGAGTTTCTATAGCAGAAGATAGTTGTCTACAAAATATTGGAAAACAGAAATTGTTGCTCACTTGAGTACGTAAGATACGTTTGTCCACTTCAATTTGTTTCTCACCCATACCCTTCACCTTGCCTCCAGCTTGACGCTCAAGGTGTGTCCACATTTTAGTAAGACGTGGCAATTGGTATTCCATTTGGGCCAATGCAACCTAGAAAAAGGACCCATAATTTGAGTAACAGATGTATACATTATTCTTCTTTTGCCCATCTTCATTACAGAAAGATTTTACCAACTTCAATCTAATATCAGTTATGTCCAATTGTCCATAATTTCCCAGTTTTCATTAAACAATAAGAACTTGCCTGTAAAGCTGCTTCATGTGTTGCAGCTCGCTGATTGAAGATATCCAGGATTAGAGCAGTCCGATCACATACTCTAACATCCCCACCAAAGGCCTTCTCCAAATTGCGCAATTGTCTGAGATTCAATTTATAGGATGGTTTCGTGTCAATTTCATAACGTCCAAACAATCGACATCCCAAATGATATTTCATTGAAAACACTCAAAGCTAAGATGGATTCTTATATAAAGGTTGAAACTAAGAAAATTACTACAAACCTTACCCCGGTGAGAGTTCATCATCAAATATTACAGTCTCAACCTCAAAAGCACGGATTGCGCTCTTAATTTCTGCAACCTTTCCCGATCCTATGTATGTCCTCGGGTTCGGTGAAGCTAACCTTCAAAGGCAAAAAAATACAGACAGACAGTATCAGTTTAGAGTATGAAAATGCAATTCCATTTAATAGATAAAACTCCTACTTTTGATAAGTAGAACCGACGACCATAAGCCCAGCAGTGTCGGCCAGCTGAACCAGCTCTTTAAGGGACTCCTCGATAGCAAACGAATCCGATATCTCGCCTTTTCGCTCCACGCCGACTAAATAAGCTTTTTCTTCAAAAACCTTCAAAGAAATCAAAAAAAAATTGATTAATAATTCAAAAATTGAACTGATAAAATCCAAAAATTTTACCTCCTTGCCGTTTCGTAACTTGAACCTATCCTCAAAGCTTTCATCATTACTGCCGTCATCTTCGTCTCTCTTCTTCCTAAATCTTACCGGTTTTGGAGTATCTTCCACCGGTTCATTGACGACGACTCCACTAACGCTTTTATCGACCACATCCTCTTTTTCCTCGGCCTCAATTATCGGACTTTGGGACGAAACACTATCCACTTCGTATCCTCGTTGAGTGACCCTCGCAACAATACTCCTGTTATTGTTATAAGGACGGCCAATAGAGCGGTTAAGATTCAAATTCCATGGAAATTTGGCCTCGTAAATTAAAGGTGAAGGAGAAATAAGTGAACAAAAACATAAGCTCATCGTAAAATCCTTTTGCTGGGATTGCAGTAACTTCTTCGCCCCGAAACTGATACTCGTGCAATCTTCAATTTTTAAACATTTTCCTTTTATTATGTGGTTTATCGTTATTACCCCGATTTTCAGATATGTTTTGTCTGGACTCAGTGTGCTGAATTGCAGCCCAAACAGAGTGAACAGTTCTTTTAACAGGCCGAACTTTGGCCCATTTAGTTAATACTATTAGTATTCTTTTTGGATTTCTTCCTTAAAATGTCAATAAACTGTACGAGGAAAACAGCGGCAAAACAATCCAAGCGGATTAATTATTTGACCCAATACATCAATTTCAATATTATTTTGCATTCTAGAATATTTGTTGCAGTATAGGTTAGCTAGTCACCCTCACGTGAATAGGTTTGCGGGTCCCATGTCACCAAATTGTTTATTAATTTTTTTGAAATTCGTCACGTGAAAAATACATTAATTTTTTAAATTACTTAAAATAATATTTTTAATCATACATTTTTTTTTTAATTTATGACATTCGTCATGTGGGGTGACGAGTTCCTTTCGAATTTGAAATTCATAATCGTTATTTGAACGTTAGGCAATAAGCAATTTTTTTCAAATTTCATTGGAACTCGTCATGTGGGAGTGACAAGTTTCAGCTATCAATTTTTTTTATATAAACAGAAGTGAGTTATTTTAGTTCATGCTTTTAGTTGTACTTTTTTTAATTGTGTTTATATACTTCTCTAACTATTTCTCTAACTATTTATCTATGGGTTCATATTTTTTAGATTGTACTTTTTTATGTGTTGTTTATGTATTTTCAACTTTCACTTTAATTCATACATAATTACAAATTATTCATAACTAACTTTACTTAATATAATAATTATTTAATACACCGACAACCAGTAGATCTAGTGAGATTAAGCATTAGATTCCTTAAGCAATGTCATAGGTTTGAACTTTGGCATTTGTGAATGGAGTAAACTAGGTTGGAAGGGTCGCCCTTGCCTCTCTTGTACTCGATCTTGATTAGTCGATCAATAGATCGGATACCGATGTTTAATTCAAAAAAAAATCATACATATATTTAAAACATAAGAAACAACAATATTTTTATATTATTTTAATTTTTTCAGCCCTCTAAGCAATTAATTTCTACATCGGATTAGTAAGTCTTCATATTTATCTTTCGTTCTTCTTTTTCTTCCCAAATTTAATATTTTTATTTTTATTTTTTCATCATTCTCTACAAGTTGTTTCCTACGTCGGATTGGTAAGTCTTCATACTTCTTCTTATCCATTTATGAAATTTTATCTTCCAAGTCGATATTTAGGAAAATGAGAATAATGTTTTCTGTTGTGATGTTCACCTCTGCAGTTGACACAAAGCTTAAGTAGACTTTGCTCTCTTTGAGGATCATTCATATCAGTATAAATTTGACTAGATTCAGGCTAACCCTTCAATTTCCTGCGTAATTTCTGAATTTGATAGCTATTCTTCAGAAATAGTTGGTGTAAGCAAATAAGCATCTTTTGGGAGATACTTAAACTCACAATTGTATAATTTACGCATAGTGTGAAGACTATAACAACCATCAACATAAGAGTATAGGTCAAAATTAACATGTAAACATGCAACGACGACATGAGCACATGAGAACTAAAAGCTTGAAATCAATTGCAATCACAACATCTTCTATTTAGATTACCAGTGTATGTGGTAGAATTGTCTCCCTCATGTGGTCGAACAAGTGATTTGACAACGTAATAAAAATCAAGTCTGATAAAATTATGAATAAACATTAATATTGCATGTGTTTTTTTTTTTTGTATTGTCTTCTCCAAGTCTGGAGCCCAATTTCTCCCTTCGTTGTTCATAAAATCTTAGTTTGCCCAAACTTTATCTAACATAAAGTAAGTCATCTTAATAATACTTGTTATCGGAAGATGTCGAGTCCCTTTAAACACTGAGTTTATACATTCAACAAGGTTGGTTGTCATATAACTTTAACGTCGACCTTGATCATCATAAACTTGTGATCATCTTTCCTTGGGGATTTCAATTGTGAAGTTATAAACATCTTCTTTGTATCTTCTCGAAATTTCTAGTCGTGTACGAAAGTATGATTGTAGCAAAGCATACCATAAAAAAAATTTATATTTAAGGATAAAATGAATAACAAAAATGAAACATAAATAATTAATGAAAAATATCATATTAGTTACTCATGTTGATAATTTCATTTTTGATATTTTTTATTCTTGAACCTCTTTATATGATTAAAGGCGATATGTTGTATACAATATGTCATATATGAGTGGAGAGACGTTCATTTACTTCCCGGTCTAAAAATTATAGTTAACAACCCAGACAAACAGCCTGATATCATGTAAACCTCATTTTGAGTGGCAACATGAGAACACAAATGGGAGAGAAAGAAATTTCAACTTTTCTTTGATTCATTTTTAATAATAACGAAGGCAATGGGAAAATGTTTCTGACACCATTTTATACAACAACTTTCATCAGGACGTGTTTAAATACCACATATAAAAAATCCCATCGACTTGAACTATTTGTTTGCAAAATTGGAATCTTTCAATAGATGACTTGAAAGCCCAAAACAAACATGTTGAATTTATATTTTGATATAAAAAAATATTTATAAAATTGGTTTTAGATTTCATCAAATATTTCAAAAATAATTCAAAATCCAAAATAACTTGAGAAATATGTTTTCTATATTGTTATATATATATGAAATGCTTTTGAGTTAAATTAAATATGTCTAAATCTTTTAAAATATGAAAAATATTATTCAATCACTATTTGACATTGTTCATACAAGTACTATTCATAAATATCGAGTTTCGAAACTTTTGACAATGTTTTGAAACTTTGCTCATAAAACAGTTTTAATAGTCTGATTTTCTTCACCGATCATATTTTTAATTTGAAGTTTTAAATTACAGTGACTTTAAGAGTTTCGAAATTTTCTCAAACGTTTTGAAACTTCATGTGCAGATGATCTTAATTGCATGTTTTTAAAACTTCCAACAGCTATAACTCGTCTCCAATGGTCATAAACAGTTAGAAATACATTCCAATTGATAAAAACAACAAATGGACACTTGAAAAAGGTTATTGCACCTATCCAATCTAAAAGATAAAAAAAAAAGAGTTTTCATTCTTTATTTCTTCACTTTCTCTTGTATATAGTGTATTGAGCTTTATTGAGTATTTTTGTCTTCATTTTTTGTAAGCTTAACAAAGCTACTAAAAATTCTCTTTCCAGTGATAACTTCTATGTGAAACGTGGTCGCAAGAAGAGTATAGGATCTTACAATGATTTTAAGGATGAAAAATTTTATTGCTTGCAGCAAAGTAGACCTGACAAACTTGACCCGAATTTGATTATTTTAATCGATTTACCCAACTCAGTACTTGATAATGATCCAAACATGATATAATACCATATGCATTTGTAAATCTATGGTAAATGCGATAATTACCGTGTTTTTTTTTCCTTTTAATGAGACATAATCTAAATTTGACTAGCTTTTGAGATGAATTTGAAATTTTTAGTAACAAAAATGATATGTTTATCTTCTAGGCTGATTAAATACCCTAGCCATTCACCCTTTTTATTTACCTTAGTCGTTTATCCTTTTTTTCATCATCTTTATTGATTAGGGAGGGCATTACTTTTATTGTTAGTCGCTAATTAGTAATATATTGTTGAACTATGTTTCGATTTAACAATTTAAGGCAAAATGGTTTTTGGACTTGAATTGAATTTACAAAATGTATTTGGACTTAATTGAATTTATTCAAAATTTACAAAAATAATTCAAAGTTCTTTTAATTTAAATTGAGCACAAAAATATTTTTATGAATAATAATTCCAGTATGTAAAAGGGGAACCGATTCCCCCCAAGGGGGTACCGATTCCCTCACTGTCCATCAGCCCAACGGTCATAATATTTGAATATTATGAAGGGGTATCGATTCCCTATGAAGGGGTACCGATTCCCCCCATTCTGGGCAGCCTATTTTTGCAGAAAAATCACTCTCAAACAGCTCCAAAACATCCCCAACGGTTATATATGACTTCAAACACATTCCAAGCTATAAATACAAGCTAAGGACACTTGAAGAAGTAAGAGAACAATTATCCAAGCAATCAAACACAAGAGAAGAGTTTTTCATTCTTATTGCATCTTTCTCTTGTAAATATTTTGTTCTTGTGAGCTCAATCTTGTAAACATCTACCTTAGAGAGGTTTTCTTGTTTACATTTCTTATCCTTTTGTAAATGGGAAAGGTTCTAGCTTATCTCGTGTAAAAGCTAGGGAAATGTTCTAGTTTAGCCCGGAAAAACTAGGGAGTTTGTAAGGTTACTTTTTATCCTCAAAAGAAAGAACAAATTAGTGAATTTGTTGGAAAATCCTTGGTGAGGAGCTAAGGTAGTGGACGTAGACATTGATTGAGAAAGTCGAACCACTATAAATCGCTATGCAATTCTCTATCTTTCAATCTCCTTACTCCCTAAACACAAAACCGTTCCGACCCCTTTTTGCAAATCGTTCCGGTTGTCGTTTCGAGCTTCCAAAAATCCCAACATATATGTTTTTTCACATAGCATATATCTCTTTATTTTTAATTTCAAATTATTCTATTTTTTTTAATTATTTTTAATAATAGAGAGATTACATCGGTATAGGAACCTAAATGTCAAGAATCAAATGAGAATTATCTTCCTGGACAAACGAAACAAGTTGATCTGGTGGAGAGTCGAATACCATTTGCCAAGAGAGCATTATTTTGACCCAATTTAGCCAATCTATCAGTTACCAGATTGCCTTCTCAAGTGACATAAATAAAATTCACCATCCAATCTTGAGAAATTAGCCGCCAAATATTTATATATATCTTTTGACATTTTTTCGATCTTTTTTATTCGATCGTTTAAACGTTTTCTTTTTTTCAATTTTTGCATATCTCGACTGATAAGATGATATTTATTTGTTATCTTATTGGTTTATCTTGCTTTGGACCATCGAATTATATTTGGATAGGTGATTTTTTTTTCGGAGAGTTTTTTTCACAACACCCAACTGTAATTTACGGTTGTCGGTAGTCTTTCCGTATAACTTTCAATATAACTTTCTAAGTTGACACGATAAAACATAAAAGTTTACCTAGATAAGCATGCATGTAGATTTTGATATATCAATGCGTCATTGTAGAATAGGGGTAAGCATGGCACCAATACGAGGTGCCATTAATGATGTTAGTTCAATCTCAGTTATTGAAGGGTCATACTCGCAGATGCTAATCTAAGTTACATAAACAGGAGGACCGTTTTTTTTTTAATTATATTGGCCTGACTGTGATGGGTTCATATATTCTCTCTGTCATGTACTTATATCTTGCTAATCAACTTAATACCCAATTTCTACATGTAATCTGAATGGATTCAAATCCATATACACCCTATAGATGCAGTTATTTGTTTGAACTCGACCACTAGGTTTTACGTACTTTGTGATTGAATGCTCGTTTTCGGGTTAAGTTTGCATTTGCATTGGTTAAGATGACTGCAGTAACTTACTGGGTGATTTTAAATTTTCGAGTTAAGGCCATATTACATGCAGCCTTAACATCTCAGATTATGCAAGCTTTAACTTAAAAGTAGTATGAAAGGTAGTGGATGTGGGCATTAGATCAGGTCCAGAAAACTACAGTGTTACGGAACCAGAGGACGACAACTGAAAGAAGCCAAAGGAACAAAGCTACAATCATTACTGAAAATGTACAAGAAACAGACCAACCCGAAAGATCACACCACACCCAGAAATCGATCTTATCACCTCACCAAACCAAATTCGATAACAAGCCTTTCTGCTTAAAAGAAATCCTGCACGTCCTCGAAAGATTGTGGCTTTCTTTGTCCTTTCAACATCTCTATGCATTACTCCAACAGCTAATAACAGGAAAAAGGTTTGATTTTCCTACAGGTTTTACTCTTTGCAGATTAACAAGCAAACAATCTTAAAGGTAGGAGTGTGCAAAAGACAGGCTACTTTTTCTCCTCCTTTTTCAGATTACAACGACGCAATGCACAGAAAAATTTTACATATGGGTGTCTCACCTTGTGTGATTAGGCGAGAGAGAGAGAGGTTACACTGTTTTTGAGCTCAGAGTACTTTTGAGTTTCCCAAAGAAATGTAACTGCAGGCAATAAAGCTGAAGGGTTGATGCCTTTGCTTGTTGTTTTATCGTCAGGGAAGAAGTTGGGGACCATCCTTCCCGGACATCTTATTCATTTCTTCTCAGCCAATTACCTCTACGTTTTTGAATAATTAGCAGAGGTCTATGTATCTATAGGCGTGATAGCTTTTGGCTGCTTAGTATTAGACCTATTCACTTTTTCCCCTGATAAGTATGGCTAAAAAGTCATTGTTTTCCTCTAAAGCATTATTAGCATTTGTTGCAACTAGGAATGGACAGAGGTATTATTTATTTGCAGTTTTCCTCATCAAGATTAATGCTTTGTTGATTGCTTTCACATCCATTTTTATGCTCATCAATTATCTTTTTGGCTTTATTATTACTTCCTTAAATTAGTGTATCCCAAACAGGTCTTCAATCACTCACAAATGGCTCTTTAATTTTTCTGTCTGGTTTTCAGTAATACAATTCCTTCACTTCATTCCATCCTTGCTTTTACTGCATTTCCCCCCTCCCTCTCTCCTGCTTTGCTTTTCAAGGAAATTAAGGAGCTACCCTGGCTGTTATCTTGCTTACGGCAAGTGATTCTTCTGATCGCATGGCTTGTAGCGTTTTAGATCTCAGTCAGTACAGATTTTTCCATTTCAGCTCTGTAACCCATTACTTCAGGTGACCCTGTGTTTAATGCCGGCCAACTTTTATATTTGTTGTTTGTCATCTGTTGATGAATATATTCACCTCGTTTCAAGCTGAGTCTTATCATGACCCGCTTTTAATACTTTTCACGTGGAACGGTAGTTTGCCTTTTCTTTTACTTTCCGTATGTTTATGTATGGCTCAATAATTTTAGTTCACTCGGTGACTCACTGCTCTTCTCCTCGCGTTTGAATGCCGATCAACCAGGCGATTTAGCAACTTTCAAAACCTTAGGCTTCCATTTCTGTCACTATGGTTTCCCGAGATTCACCTCCAAATCCAACTTCCAGCTTGCTACACCATTTTATCGTCTCGGATTCTATCAACGGCCAAAACCAATTGGGAGACCAACATTTTGATGCTTATGGCTCCGCTTTGAGAAGCAACCACGACACATTTCCTCAGTCCCTGGGTTTATTGCCCAGCATTCATTCTCTCGGCGAAAGAATGTCCAGATCAATGGATCTCCTTCCAGCTCCCATTGTAACGAAGGAATCGGAGATTAGCCAGACAAGACACCTGATGGACCTTCTTGGAGCAGCTAACGAGACCAACCATCAAACTCAAAGGCTCTCACTGCCTCTGGTTTCTCACATGCTTGGTCCGTCCTTAAATTTTGGTATTGCAAGTTCTAGTTACTTGCTTTCGGAGGCAGAAGACAGAGAAGTTTGCAATCCTGGAGTGGGGACTGCAAGGGGTAATGATTACTCTTTCACTGCTAACACATTTGCTTCGGCTTCCACCTCACTGCACCGGCCTCTTGCGACTACTTATGGGTCAGAATCTTTTGCCACTGCTATTGTGAATTCCAGGTATCTAATGCCCACTGAGTCCCTTCTAGATGAAGTTGTCAATATTGGTGGCAAAAATGTCGATGAGAATTTCTTTAGGAAGTTATATAAAGGTGACAAGGGAGAGAGTTCAAGAATTTCCTCTGAATTAAAGGCAGAATTCTGCAGTAATGAGATACAGCTGCCTGAAAAGCACGAGCTCCGAGTTGGGCTCGCAAAGCTAATTGGATTACTGGAGGAGGTTAGCCGTTTGAATGACGTTGTTGGATGTTCTGTCGTGTTTACTTGTGTTTTAACTCAAAAATTACTGGAATCTTTAATTCATGAATTCGTTGTTGTTTCGTTTGCAGGTTGAACTCAGGTACGAGAAATACTACCAGCAAATGAGAGAAGTGGTTTCATCGTTTGAATCCATAGCTGGTTTAGGAGCAGCAAAGTCGTATACTGCTTTGGCACTGCAAGCAATGTCCAGGCATTTTGGCAATCTAAGGGATGCCATAGTATCCCAAATAAATGTCACCAGAAGAAAGTTTCTGCATGATTTACCCAGAACCAACGCGGGGTTATCGCAACATAGCTTGTTCGATAGAGATTCAAGGCAGAATCGACAGTCTCTTCAACAACTTGGAATTATCACTGGCCAAAGGCAAGCTTGGAGGCCCATTAGAGGATTGCCAGAAACCTCAGTAGCAATCCTTCGGTCTTGGCTTTTCGAACACTTCCTTCACCCGTAAGTACAGATTTGACTTTAGTTAAAACGCTTCTGCATTGACACAATGTAACTCTAATACCATTTTGTTGCATGGTTCTTAACAGGTATCCAACAGACTCAGAGAAGCTAATGTTGGCATCACAGACAGGCCTGACCAAGAATCAAGTATGATCCCTCGTATATATATTTGCAATAAGCTCAATTGATGATCATTCATGCATGTTAATGTTGTTATCGGGTGTTTGTTATTTATTGTCGACTCAGATATCAAACTGGTTTATAAATGCTCGAGTTCGACTATGGAAGCCTATGATAGAAGAAATGTACAGAGAGGAGATTGCAGACTCTTCTCAAGACTCCGATTCTTCATTTGCCAACAGTTCCATTATCAGGGAAGCAACAACTGATCAAGCGGAGGACTGAAGCAATAGCAAGCATCAATTTAGACTGAATGACTTTGTAACCTGAATTCTTAGACTATAATCTGATCGTTCACAAATGATCAGTGAAACTCATTAGACTCGAAATACAGTTTTTGAAGCCTAATGGTGGAACTTAGTTTTCTCATGGCATGATATAGAATTCAGGCGGCTGAATTTTGTGCTTCTTGTAACAGAAAATTAAAGCTTTAGTACAAGAAAAACTGATAGAAATGAAGACACAAATGTCATAACAACGTTTTCTTTTTCCTACCAAAGAATCCTACTCATTTTGAATTTCAAATTAAAAAAGAAAAAAAATTAAATATGGTTATAGCAAAACGATACTATTTTCTTTTTCTTATAAAATAAAACATTGAAAAAATTATAAATTGTTGGTTCACAAAATAGAACAAAAGTAGAAACTGTAAGACATTAACTATTATGAAAGTAATTTCAGGGGTCTCGGTTGGGCTTGGATCTTATTCTGTAAAGTTCAGGTCGTATAAGATGGCTAAGTTGGGTTGGGACCTACTTCTGAAAAGGTCAGGCCCTGGCCATCTGGTCTTGGGTATGACATTATTTGAACGGTTCTGGCAATGGAAAAACTGGGAAAGTTCAAGTGCTGGGCTATTTCATATTCCTTTTTCACACACTTAAATCTATCTGCAAGTATATCTACTTCCACTTTCATGTTCATTTTCATTCTCTTTCCTTGATGTTTTTGTGGAAGGGGGAAAAAACAAGCTGATCATGCAATTTTAAAAGTCGCATTGGCTGTTCAATGATTATGATAAGGAAGGATTCAATTCTATTATGTCGTGCCTTACGAATTACTACTGCTTAAAACTTTTTTTTTTTTGAAATTATGTTGCCAATCCTGCTTGTGCTTGCAAGTGTGCCGTGGGGAAGGCGACAAAGGCTTTGGAATCAAGTGCATCCTGCAACTCGAGGGATATCCCAAAACAAAGATGATTGCAAATCATGTAATATTCTGTAGTCTTATGTCATCCATCTGAAACTTTAAAAAAAAATTACCCAACTAGTTTTATATTTACAGGTCTAAATGAAAAGGGTAAAAGAGAAGCAGCTGTGCCAAGAAGCACAAGTCGATCAGTTGGGGCGGTCGGGGTCACGAGCACCTCCATTCCGATTAGAATAACATCACATGTGCCCTGCAAATATCCCAATCAGTCGTTATCTTTCCACTCCCAGTATCCAACTCCGCCCCCGAAAGCAACTTCTCAACTGCACCCTTCCTGGTCTTCGTTCAATTTCGTTAACCTTATATCATCATTTCTCTCTTGTCCATTACTATGCACAAAAACAAAAAGACTATTCCTAGGTCCATACTGTCCGTTAATATCTGTTACTACTAGAGCTTTGTTTTGTATTATAAATATCGGTCATGGTCATGAAGCCACCATCTTCAAAGAGGAAGGAAAAGTAGGCGTGAAAATCTGTTGGCCTGAAGCCAAAATGTGGCTTGGGTCAAATTTCATTTTCATTTGATAGAACCAATCCCACTTATTACCAAAGTGATTCATCCACTCCTCATGTGTAGCGTAATGAGGTAAATACTGCTTGACGTTGATCCTAGCGTCATCGCAGAACCTGAGAATCTCACGGTTCTGATTAGTTAGGTACTCCAAGCTATGGATCTCCTCCCCATTATCCAAGGCTGATCTTAGCAATGCCACCAGGTAAAATACATCCTCATCCGGCGTAACCGCGGAGCTCCTATGGTCCCATCTGCAACATACAAACATGCACGCATGAGCCCCAAATGCAGCGAAAACCATTTTTGCATGGTAAAAAACAGAACACATGTAATGTTTTGAGAGCATTATTTGCGTTAGTTGAGATTTGATGGTTTTGAACGAATCAAATGGACCCGGGCTTCGCAGGGTGATTGGTCGTTAACCTGTACTAACGGCCCTGTTTATGGGGCGATACTTCTTAACCAAGACATGGATACTTCCCATCAGTGGGTCCCCATGAGAAGATCTTCTAACAGCATAATCTTCCACACTTGGATCATCATATTTCCATTACCATCGATTTGTTAGGTTCCACCCCGTCAACAGATGAGCTAAATTGTTCATCTATGACACATCCTAGCTGGGTTTCTTTCAACATTCAAGATATTCATCTGTTGGCCTTGGGACTTGGAAGCATCTGCATGCTCCCCCCCACGTGTTTCTCTTTCTGATCGATTCGCTGGTGTTAAAGTGTCATGGTTCTATGTCGGGACAACCCTGATTGAATTACTCATGGTACTTGCTGATTTTTATTTTTATTTTTCATTTTCTTTCTCCTTCAGCTTCGGTTTTACTCACACTGTAGAACGTGTGGAAGTGGAACCACGGATTCACCTAATGAAGTAGATAACACTCCTTTTCGGAATGCGACCTTGATTAACGATGAATTGTGGGTGACTAATGGTGATTCCTAGAACTGAAAAGTGAAAGCCAGATGCCGGGATTTCTCTTAATTATTTAGCAGCAAGGATAATATCTTTACTTTATATATATCCATACCATGTGGCAGTGGCTCAGTGCAATTAAGTTAGTAGTAGTGTGAAAAAAATTTCTTCGAAACAGACGGGTGACTTCAACCTAATGATGCATCATGAGTCATGACCTAACCTATGGTATAGGGCCATAAGAACTGAAGATATGATAACATGTATGCATGTTTCATGCATGGGATAACAAGTGCATTGTCGAAATTTTTACTTGTCTCTGTTCATCGGGTAGATGAGGATTGGCCCACTCGTTTTATTACCCAAAATACCCTTGAAGACTCCCTTTTCAAAGTCTGCGATCTTTGATCTGGGAACCAAAAGGTTTAACCATGGGTGCGGAACCTCCCATAAACCCTTGGATCGGAGCTTCAACTCCGCCTTGTGGACACGATCCAAGAAATCTACATACAGCAGATCTGTTGTAAAGACTGTTGCCGGTATGAAATCTAATTTCTTCAACAATGACTCTACTTCCTGCAATTTAATCACCAGCCAAAAATTTCGGAATTTAAAATAAAAGTTTAAAAAAAAAGAAATTTTTAAAACAATAAAACATAAAAGATGTAACCTTAAAAAAAGTTGCTACCAAACCAAAAGAATTGCTTTTGTCAGGGTTAAGTTTGATGGCAATTAATTGTTCAAGTCGGGATTAATTGGAACTTCGCAGTTGAAGTTTTTTTAGCGGATAAGGGCATATGGACACCAACTTTGGATTGCATATACATATAGACGTACCTTAGGACATAAGGCCACCAACTTTCGATTGCATATACATATACGTACCTTGTCGATGGTGGAAGCGGTAGATTCATGGTAGTTCTTGGTGATTTCCAAGCAATACAAAACGCCTCCGTTAGACTTAAGTGAAGATATTTTGACGGGGTTGCTAGGGGAAAAGAAGGATGATCTCCAATTGTTGATGAGACCTTCATCTACAATCACAAAACCTTCAACGTAGTCGAATTTTTGGCTACCCGGTTCTGCATGCAGTGAGATAAGATACACTTGATCCCTGGTAAAAGCCGAGAAATTTGAATACAGTACCCTGATCCACCTAACCTACAGTGAATCAAATATATGTATATACAACGTTAGAGGTAAAAACGACAAATCAACAACGATGATTTGACAATAACACTTAGTTAGGTCATGAATGAGGAGTACTTTTCCTTTTAGGTTTTGAGAATAACTAGTACTGGGATATTAGTTTTATGTCGCAATCTCGAACCATCACTAGACCATTTTATAAAAAAAAGTTCAAGTTTTTACATGAATAATGTTCAAAGACATAAAGATATACCCTTTGTGGAGCTGGCTCAAGAGAAATTCTAGCTCTGGTGATAATTCCAAATTGTCCTAAACCACCAAGCACAGCATGAAACAGCTCTGAGTTTTGTTCCTCTGAGCATGTCAAGAGCTCCCCTATGCCTGTTCACCAGAAATATAAGCTCAAACACCCCTCCACATACAAGTGCAATACCCATAGTTTCTTTCTTTTAATGCGAAAGCCCTTGAAAATGAACAGTTTTTTGAAACTTTGTAAAATAGGTAAACAGAACAATAAATGACGCACGTACTATACTTGACATTTCTGTACATGATCCCAAGAGTCTAGACAAGACTAACTCAATAGTACATATTTCATGCGTGAAAACAAAAAGGAAAAATGTTTTGAAGCCCGCTATTAAGACAAAAACCACCGCTGTACAGCGCACTGAAAACGTTAAAGCTGAGTGTTTATTTTTCATCATGCATCGTATAACTAAATTGTTTTCATTAATGAATATTTTTGTCACTCGTATAATTTAATTTAAATAAATCTATTATTTGTTTTAAATAATTAATAATTAATAAAATAATACATAACCTGTAACGACATCAAGCTCATGGACATTGCTAATTTGTGGACCATGGTTGAAAGCCTGGCCACTAATTCCAGCATTTGACAACGTCCCACCAACAGAAAGGTAGAGGTAATCAGTCCATGATTTTGGTGCGAGTCCATACTCTAGGCTACTCCTCAGCACATCTATCCAAAGCTCACCACCCCACACATCCACGTACCTCTCTCGAGGCCAAACTCGAGGCTGCGGTGGCTTCCTCCCTGATCCCCGTCTCGACCCACTCATCTGAACTACCACCCCGTTTTCGGTTTGAGGCTGAGCCTGTCCACTTATGGAATGCCCATGCCCCCTAGCCGAAACGGTGAACCCGAAGTCTGACCTGTAGGCCGCTTTGATAAGTTGAGAAATGTCCTGAGCAGAAGCCGGATGCAAGACAGCTAGCGGCGGCGTAGCTCGTGTCAACCGTCCAAAATCGAGAGAAGCGGTTTCAACGTCGGTGGGATCAACGCTTAGTTGGCCGTCAACTCCAAGGAGGACAAGTTCGGAGGGGTCCAAGGTCAATCCCACTGTAACAATCAATCTACAAATAGAGAAGGTTAAAAGAAGCTTAGTTGCCATATCAAAGAAACAATGGATGTTTCTTCTCCCCCTTGTTTTGGGTGGCGCAATAAATGGTTTGTTTAGAACAATGAAATGAACATATAAAGAAAGAGAAATGCTGTTGAGGAGGTGAATGGATAAGGATGAATTAAGTGAAGTGAATCGGCGAAAGGAATAAAATCTTTGGTGGCAGAGTTAACGCAAGCCCAGAAAACACATTAAAGATTAACACTTACTACCTAATAATCAACATGCACGTGTACTTTTTCCTTGGGGTTTTTTTTCACGTCAAGACTCAAGTGTACAGATAAAAATGGGGGGATTTTGAAGGGAAAAGTCTGAATTTGTGGGGAAAGAAAATAGAGGATAGAGGGGTGGTGAGTGTGATATATTAGATGTGTTGTCGAGTATATAGGAGATGCATGATAGAGGGGGTGTTTGTATGTGATTTTTTTATTAAATTAAATTGGTTATAATGTAGTATATATTCTAAATAATCTTTATTATTTGACAATAAACATTCAATCATCTTCTTGTTGTTGTTAGTGTTCGAATCTATAATTTTTAAAAACATTAACTATTCTTTTAATTATTTAGGTAAGTTGGTTCATGGATGTATCAAAATTTATAAGGTGATCCGGAGGCCACAGGAGCAGAAACGAGGCCATTCACGTGCGAGGAGTGGGAATACAGGTGGTGTGAGAGAATGAGAGAAGGGGGCTGGTTTCTGCCCTGGTGCTGGTGCGGGGTGCCCCCCCCCCCCCCCTCTAAAAAAAAAACCCCTCGGAAGAGGAATGGATCAGTGGTCCACTTCGGATACGGAGTATCTAATGGGGTCCTCTGCTGCCGATGGATCACGTGGCTGCTGCTCTGCTCAATTCCACTCCACCCACTGCCTGCTGCTTACCAATCGCTTCCGACTCATTTGACAGAAAACTAGTAATTGGGGAAAGCTCATTCTTTGTAGACGTACCAATATATTGTACCAGACTACAGTATTAGTCCCCAGTAAGCAGTTAGGATAAAATTCTATAATTTGTAACTTAGGATTTAGCGTTTAACTTCGTACAATAATATTTAATACATCATATCTAATGTACGCATTATTGTTATGATCTCATATTCTCTTATCTGTTTCAAAACTTCAACCAATAATGATCTTTGTCTACTTCAAATTACTAGTAGTAATATAAAACTTCAATGCCGACTGAAATCACCATCACCTGCATACATATCATTGTTCTTGTAGTACCAGTCCTGATCATCTCCCTTCCCGGATAAACAACAAGCGATGCTGCTTGTTTTGAGGCTTCCTACTCATCAATTTAGTTTCCGGATTTTGTTAACCAAAATCTTCAATCTGCCGATTTTTAGATGGGATTTTCATTTTACGTACTATCATGTAATTTCCATATTAATCTGGGTCGCTACTAGCAAATAACGTACCTTTGTGTCAAATAAATTCGAAGTTGACTTGCATGGCCCATGTTCTAATATTTAAGCACGCCCATGTTCTCTCAATGAATGTGCTAACTACTGGTGCAGGCAGTTACTTTTACCGCAGTCTATTATAAATAGGATCGAGCAACTCTGCTCTCGCTTTCTCTGGAAAGGTTCTGACAAGGCTGCCACTGGAGCTAGAGTTAGCTGGAAATTGATTTGCCACTTGAAATCTGAAGGAGGGCTTGGCTTAAAGGACTTAAAAACATGGAACAAAGCGTGTATGATTCAACTCATTCGAAACATCTTAGCAGGAGAGGACTCACTATGGGTTGCTTGGGTCAAATCCTATGTTTTAAAAGATAAAGACTTCTGACAGTCAGAATGTGGTACTAATGCTAATTGGAGCTTGAGAAAACTGCTAAGCCTTAAAAGAGAAGCACAAACTGTTTTTTCTGCAGGAGCATTGACAACTCGCGCCATATGGGATGCGACTAGAGTAAAGAGAGACAAAGTTAATTGGCATAATCTAATCTGGTTTCCTCTACACATACCAAAACACAGCATGATTGCTTGGATGGCTATCTTGGATAGACTTCCAACTAAGAATAGGCTTCAACATATGTGCATTTTATCCGATGGCTTGTGTGTTATGTGCAATGATGATATGGAGACGAGAGACCATCTGTTCATCGAATGCTCATTGTCGGATTCCCTTTGGAAGGCCATTATGCATCTCTCAGGATTAAGGCCATCTTCTTCGTCCTGGAACAACTTGTTAGCATCGGCTTCTCATGCTTGGAAAGGTAAATCTTTACTTATCACTATTTTGAAACTTGCATGATGTGCATTTCTCTATTCTCTATGGGAGAAACGAAACAGAAGGTTGTTCAAAGGAAACTCCAGGAATGAAGCTGAAATTCTTAAAGTTATCAAGGAGATAGTCGTAACTCAACTTAGAGGTCGGAATATTAATAGACTTGATAGTGTCAATATAACTCTTTGTAAGAATTGGAGTATTAAATATCCTATACTTGTTTTGTGAATAGGTTGTTCTCGACTTTCGATTGCTTTTAGGTTGTTTTTCCATTGATGATTGTTTTGTAGCAGAACTCTGCTCCTTTGGGTAATAAATTTTAACTTATCCAAAAAAAAAAAAGTAAGGGATATTTATCACTTGCTATACTTGTGAGATATTCAGGGATTATAAATGAATATTTATTGAGGTAAATGAGTTGTTATTTTCTTCCATGATTCCTTCCGATTGGCCTATTGGGTGCCTAATTTCTAGCATTAAAGTCTAGGCGTGTTGTTGCCCGTATCAATGTTTTGAACAAAAGCGTACGGTAAGAAGGGTCAGGGACTCAGGGTAAGGTTTTGGAAAATTTGTATTATACTTTTTAAATTAAATTTAAAATTTGAGATTTATTAATTGATGGATTAATTACAGATATTTATGCTATGTTATGTAGATTTGAATCTTAGTGTTTGTTTTGGAAATATAATGTTTTTATACTTAATTACAAATATATATTTAAAATTTTATTTGGATCGTTTCAAAAAATTTAGAAATTTTTGTAAAGTTTAAAAAAGTTTTGAATTTTTCAATTAATTTTCTCAAAATTATTAAAAAAAATCATCAAACTTCTGAAAAATAAAATAAAAATTGTGATTAGACCCTCATACATTTTAAGAAAAGTTTTCATTGAGTCTTTAAAATTTTAAATTTTTTTATTAATCCCCTAAAAAATTTAGTTAGACCTCCTCAAACTACACAATTATGATACGTTCCTGCCCTGGTTTTAAATGATGGAGAAATATTATAACTTGTTACAATTTATAAAAGAAAAGGAGAATTAAGTTTAGAATTACTAATCTTGAATTGGTCATTGACCGTTTAGTTTTTTACTTCCTTTGTCTCTCTTCCTCTTGAGAAATTATTTCATTGTCCTTGTTCAACACGTCATCTATGGTCTCAATAAAACGCATTCATCAATCTTAAAATAACTTCCAAATAATTATACACTCTTTATATGTGGTCCCAACCATATAAAATATTACATATATAAAATGTTGTTAATTGGTGACACAAATGACGTGACGAACCAAATCCATCTAATAATTTGTAATTACATTTATAAAATGTTATTAATTGATACTACAAATGACGCAGTGAGCTATATCGATTTAATAATTTTTCATTTTTTGGGCTGTCATAACTTTTGTCGTATTTTTTATATATGTAATTTTTTACATAATAGAAATTCCAACAGCAAATGAATTTGCCTGTCCTTTGTTGAAATCAAGATTTAATTGGGGAATTAAGATGCATGCACGTAATTAAATGAAAATTGAAACCCTCCAACCATCTATTAATTATTAAGATGTTTTCGAGATCCTAGATTTGGGTTGAATTAATATTATTTCGTTTTTAATATTTATTATACATAGGGTTTGAAAGACAACAAACCAATGCAAAGTACATACAACTAAACTAGAATAATTTTGCCTCAAATTTTATATGTTTCATATATAAGAACTATTGAAGGGCACTCCTTTTGTCATCTTATAACAAAGAAATTAATTGATAAACGATATAGGCAATAAGTTTTACACAGATGTGTTCAGAAATTCCAAGGCAACACCAATTATCATATATTTTATGCGTCCGTTTTCCTAAGTACACAACCTGCTGGCAATGTCCTGAGAATGATTTGCTTGTAAGTATTTTTATACATATTTAAAACAAGTGGGAAAATTTAATTCCAAATTTTGAAATTTGTATGTATAAATTAACATATCAAAATAAAGACTCGAAAGATTTTCATTGTACAAGTTAAATATTTTTATAGGGGAAATCTTACGTGCGGCAGCCTAATATACAATTAAGGAAAGACGCTACTAAAATTGTTATTATTTTTTTAACATTTCCGGTAAAAAATTACCTAAAATATTATTATTTCTACAAAAAATGTTATTATTGGACGCTTTACCAGGCTTGTTAACATATCTGGTAAAGCGCTACTAAAACATTATTTTTTCTATCAGAATGTTAATATTGGACACTTCACCGAAAATGTTAAAAAACATTAATGTTTTAGGTAAAAAATAATAATATTTTAGATAATTTTTTTAACAGAATATTATGACAATAGTAAGGAAAACTTCACATTTTTATAATATAAGCGTGAATCATTTGTAATTGCTGCAATCTTTGGGTACATGAGGGTCCACTGATGAACTGGAAGCAGTATTTTGATGGATTTTTTAAATATATACTTTGTTATATTATATATCATTTAAAATAAATATGTTATTGATATGAAGTTGTCCCCACAATCTTAGTGAATAACTTTAAAATTGTTATGGACTCGGATTTCAACAAATAAAGTGGAAGAGACGTTGGTAAAAGCGCATGCAAGTGTGGTTTCCACAAAGCAGGAACTGGTAACATTGTGCTGTCAAATGCTTAAAGATCAAGGCAGGGCCATATATAGGATAGGGTAGGTTAGGCCATTTACCACTAATGAAATCTTGGCTTCTTGTAGTGGGCCCCCGGGAGGGGGACTTCCACAAAATTTCAAGGCCTTTGCCTTTTGCCATCGGATCACCATTTTAACACTAAAAGGAAGTTAGTTTGAGAGCAGAAGAAAATGTCCATCACTTTGCCTTTTAGGATGATAACATCTTCCATTAACCCGTCATTTCATTCACAAACCCCAACTAAAGCCAAGTAGCTTGTCTTTACAAGTATGTTTGGAAGTGCAATGTGAGTGGGCAA